TAGTGCACGGAACCAGACAGACAATGAGGAACAGCATGCATATGTGTGGGTTGTTTTTTTTTTGAGATGACATCTCTCTCAGGCTGGAGTGCAGTGGTGCGATCTCGGTTCACTGCAAACTCTGCTCCCCGGGTTCAAGCGATTCTCCTGCCTCAGCCTCCCGAGTAACTGGGACTACAGGCATATGCCACCATACCCAGCTAATTTTTGTGTTTTTAGTAGAGACAGGGTTTCACCATATTGGCCAGGATGATCTCAATCTCTGGACCTCATGATCTGCCTGCCTTGGCAGGCAAAGTGCTGGGATTACTGGCGTGAGCCACCGCGCCTGACATAGTGCATGTGTGTTCTATACAATGTGTGATATAATGAGGTCAGGGACCACCCTCTGAAAGAGATTAGGAGAGTGAGAGCCAGCCACACAGCTATCCTGAAGGGAGAGTGGTCGGAAGGGGAGAAACAAGTACAAAGGCCTAAGGCAGGAGGAACTATTACGTGCAAAGAGCAGGAGGAGCCCAGTGTATGAGCTAGGGAAAGAGTAGAGGGAGATTAAATTAGAATGGGGCATGTGTGTGCATGTGTGCTTGACGTGGGGTACATGTGTGTAGCATATGGGAGTGTATGTGTATGTGTGTGTGTATAGTATGTAGAGTATACATGAGATGTAGGGTCTTGCAGACCATGGTAAGAGGCTTTGGATTTTACTCTGTGTGAGAAGGGAAATCACTGGAGGATTTTAGGGATACACATGGTGGAGGGTTTCGTGTGTGTGTGTGTGTGTGTGTGTGTGTGTGTGTGTGTGTGACAGACAGGGTTTCATCAGAAAGAGAGACAGACAGAGAGAGGGTTTCACTCTGTCACCCAGGCTGGAGTAGGCTGGAGTACAGTGGCATCATCATGACTCACTTGTAGCCTCTAACTCCTGGGCTCAGGCAAGCCTCCCACCTCAGCCTCCAAAGTGGTAGGATTACCTGTGCTTGCCACTGTGCCCGGCCACAAGGATTTCTTTTCCACCATTTCTGTGTTTCATCCCCAAGCAGTGATAATCAGCAAAAAGAAGAGGTTGAATGTCAATGTTTTCACTATTCACTAATTTTCCCTTTGTCTACTCACATAAGGCTCATGACGTTCAAGATTTGACCTCCTTCACTGAAATATCTACACAGTTACAAAACAAACACAAAACCACCAAATTTCTTTCTAGTCATCAGCTTCCTAGGAAACAATTAGAAACATTTTCCTCAGGATAACCTCTCTGGTATCTTTATCACAAGATACCTTTCTTTTTTTTTTCCAGATCAACTTCCAGTTTTTATTTATTGACTTATTGATTTACTTTTATTTTGGGTTTGGGGTACATGTGAAGGTTTGTTACACGGGCAAATTCCAGTTAAGGAGGTCTGTTGTACAGATTATTTCATCACCCATGCATTAAGCCCAGCATCTAACAGTTATCTTTTCACACCCTGTAATTCTCACTTCGCTCACTTTTGCCACTCCTGCAAAAAGCAGTTCCTTAGAATTCATACAGTTCTTTTCTCAGAAGTCTGCAAAACATTACAGAAGGAATTTTTTTTTTTTTTTGAGACAGAGTCTTGCTCTGTCACCAGGTGCCAGGTTGGAGTGCAGTGGCACAACCTCAGCTCACTGCAATCCTGCTTCCTGGGTTCCAGCAATTTTCCCGCCTCAGCCTCCTGAGTAGCTGGGACTACAGGCGCACTGTTTTACCTTTTTAAAATTAATCCTTATTATTACCCCTATAAATAGCTAAATAGACATCAACTCCGCTGGGCCAGCAGATGAAGAGAGTGATCCAACCCCTGATGATTCTTTCTTCTATGACATAAGTCTTACCAAGTAAGAAGTTGGTGGTAAAATTGCTTACTTCAGAGTAAACAAAATTTTGGGAAGATCAATTAGAAAGCGGGAAGGAAAATACTATTTCTTTGCTGACTACTACAAGGTTTTGGCTGGACGCAGTGGCTCAAGCCTGTAATCCCAACACTGCGGGAGGCCGAGGTGGGCAGATCACCTGAGGTCAAGAGTTTGAGACTTTGGGAGGCCGAGGCGGGTGGATCACCTGAGGTCAGGAGTTCGAGACCATTCTGGCCAACATGGTGAAACCCTGTCTCTACTAAAAATACAAAAATTGCTGGGTGTGGTGGCGCACGCCTGTAGTCCCAGCTACTCGGGAGGCTGAGGCAGGAGAATTGCTTGAACCCGGGAGGCGGAGGTTGCGGTGAGCCGAGATCACTCCATAGCACTCCAGCTTGGGTGACAAAGCAAGACTCTGCCTCAAAAAAAAAAAAAAAAAAAAAAAAGAGCGAGACGGAGTTTCACTCTTGTTACCCAGACTGGAGTGCAATGGCGAGATCTCGACTCCCCACAACCTCTGCCTCCCGGGTTCAAGCAATTCTCCTGCCTCAGCCTCCCAAGTAGCTGGGACTACAGGCGTGCGCCACCACACCCAGCAATTTTTGTATTTTTAGTAGAGACGGGGTTTCACCATGTTGGCCAGGATGGTCTCGATCTCTTGACCTCTTGATCCATCCGCCTCAGCCTCCCAAAGTGCTGGGATTATAGGTGTGAGCCACCGTGCCCAGCAAAAAATAAGATTTTTTGCTAGCTCTTCTTGGCTCTAACCCTACTTAGAAGAACCCTCAGTTCTTCTCTGTTTAAATAGTTATGTATTTTTACCTATTCTGTGGCATTCTTTTTTTCATATCAACTAAGAACCTATAAACTGTCAAAATCTGGATGATCACAGTTCACTGTAACAGCCACAAGGGACACACCAACTGACTGGGATGGCGTTTTGTAATTAAGGAGCGAAATGCTGGCACTTCCTTGCCAAAGAAACCGACTACATGCACAGACTCTCGGCAGCAAAATCAGTAGTAAGGCACAAGCAAACAAGACCTATCTGGGCAAAAAGGAAAAGTGGGTGGCAGCACGGTGTGGTGGTAAAGAACCTGAGCCTGGATTCAGGATGCTCGAGTCTGAATGCAGTTCTGTGACTTTGATCCTCTTGTCCACCCCCCACCCCTCCACTTCCTCATAGCAGGCTACAGCGAGGAGTAAAGGAGCTGACGTTGCACAGCGCTGACCCCGAATCTGGCACACGACACTCCATGAGTATTTGTAGCTATTTTTATACACTCGGTAAATTTTATTCCTCCTAGCAGGTAGAGGATTTAGATCTGAGGCCAGGTTGAGTGTTAGAAGTCCAGAAAGAGAGGTATTAGTAAAAGCAGTATACAATCTGATATAGTTGTTAGAGAGAGTCACAACTAAATAAGCCAAGGAGAGAGACTTTCTCCCACAGATCGTTTACAGTAAAACAGGTAACAAGCACTTTTGCCCTGTGGAAACCGGCTCCTGGGAAGGATGCCCGCTTTACTACTACCGTCATGCAACAGAATTTGATCTACATGAAAAAGACACTTTCCCCTCTGGGAAATTTACTTGAGAAATAGTGATAAAATGTTCAACATAATACAAATATCAACCTTCCTGAATCAATATTCAACCTCGTATCAACATTGTTCTGTCTCTTTGTATATTCTCTGATGATTCTTCTGAACACCATCAAATTGAATGAAGTGTACCTAATTCTACTGCAGTCTCTATTTATAGCCTGGAGGTATTTTTGAACAGTGCTGGGTACCAACACCAACTCAGTCCAGAGGAAACTTCAATTTAAGAGCAAAACTGTAAGACAATGAGTCAGAAGATTAGAAGGAAGGTGCTATTATATTCCTTTGCCCAATGTCACCTACAAAACCCAAGTAGTGTTTTTCACTCGGTTTCCAGGGGTAAACATTCTGCAATACCTGGAACTATATTTCAGCCTCTGCGGTCATTTTAAAGGCTCTTTAAACAAATGGGGTCTGGTTTCACTGAGGTCCAGGAAGTGCTTAGAGAAATTTAAGGCCAGACATGAAAGCAGAATCACAGTTATACCAGACAGTACGACCTTGGATGCTCTCTGATGGACTGCCCAGACTGAACTTGATGGGGTGAACGGGTGGGGGGTGGGGGGGAAGAGAAAGGAACACATACATACACACACCAAATCCCACCCCCTCTCCCACTCCTAAATAGCAGCAATCCATGCAACTGTACTTAAGAAAACAGGCCTGAGAGAGTACAAGTTGTCACATCTGGTAGTTCACAATAACATTCTTGCAATAGATAAATAAAGGGTCTCTCGTTTTAGATCTAAAGGTAGATAAACTTGACGACTGATCTTTAATCTGTTTTCATGCTTTTGAATAATGATTATACATAAGTTTTCCTCCAAACTTGCCAGGTAACAACTACAAAAATTCTCAGGCCAGGCATGGTGGCTCACACCTATAATCCGAGCAATTTGGGAGGCTGAGGAGGGTAGAACACCTGAGGCCATGAGTTCAAGACCAGCCTGGACAACATGGCATAACCCTGTCTCTACTAAAAATACAAAAATTAGCTGGGTGAGGTGGCAGGCGCCTGTAATCCAGCTACTCAGGAGGCTGAGGCAGGAGAATCGCTTGAACCCAGGAAGCAGAGGTTGCAGTGAGTGAAGATTGTGCCACTGCACTCCAGCTTGGGCAACAAGAGTGAAACTGTCAGGAAAAAAAAAAAAAGAGAAAGAAAGAAAAGAAAAAGAAAAAAGAGAGAAGGAGGGGAGGAAAGGGAAGGGGAGCGGAGGGGAGGGGGGAAGGAGGAAGAGGAGTGGAGGAAGGAAAGAGGGAGGGAGGGAGGGAGGGAGGGAGGGAGGGAGGGAGGAAGGAAGGAAGGAAGGAAGGAAGGAAGGAAGGAGGGAAGTTAGTTCTTCTATGTGTTACTTTATCCCATGAAAAGGTCTGAACATGTCAATACACTCTCAAGCCCACCTCATTCCACCCTATCCTGCCTGGATTCAAAGCGCACCCCTTGTTAGAGCTTATAGTAGTTAGTTCCTAAGCATCTATGCACATCTATGCACATGCAGGGGTAAGACTCCATTCCTCTGATACCTGGACCCAAACTGGACATAAGAAAAATCATCACCACCACCACCACCTTCATCATCACCATCACCATCACCATCATCATCATCATCTTCTTCATCTTCTTCATCACTACTGTCCCCAGAAAGTGCGAGGAAGAGGAAGGAGAAAGGATTGTCGTACATACTACCACAACAAAAGCAAAAAAGGCCATCAGAGAACAAAGGAAAAACAAGAGGAGGAGAAACTTTTGCAAATGCTGACCTTTTAAATAAATCTTACACTAAAACTTCTGTCCACTGACATGCAGAAACATAATTCACCTAAATTATAAAAACACATATAGGTACATTTGAGAGAAGGGGCCACTGGATTCATGGAATTCTGATACTGCTTCCTTCTAAGAGACCGAACTTATGCATAACTAAAACTCAACATGTCAGGGCGTGAACCGACCCACCCCACTCACCAGAAGTAAAAAACACCAGGCCCAGATTTGCTCCCACACCCTGTTGGTCTGACTCCATTTCAATTACCACTGGCAACAGGACAAAAAGCCAAAAAGGGTTCCTGTGACCCCCAACTCTCAAAGGGAAGAAAGGGAATTATAATAGAGCAATCCAAACTTTCCGGCATTATCTCAGGTTACGTGCCTACCAAACTAGTTAGCCACACAGGTTAAAAACCCAAAACAACAACAATTAAACAGAGTCAGTGTCACACAGCAGTTCTTCCAAACTGTGTTAATCTCCTTTCCCTGCACAGCAAACACACACGCAATTCTCCTGCAGGATAAATACCTAGGAGAGATCCTCAGGGAGGAGGGGCGTCTGTTCGTGGCACTGGGTGAGGCGGGTGGTAGGGGTGGACCGGTGCTGCTGGGCCTCTGTCTGGAACTGCTGGCAGGCACTGCTTGGGGGTTACTGGTGAGAGCAGGGGGACTTGGGGAGGTTGACAGAATGGAGATGCCTGAGGATGCCCACGGGTGAGTGACAGTGTAGGGGCGATACCGTGGGGATGAGGGCTGGCTTCCTGCAGCAGTTCCAGAGGCTGCACTATGAGGACTGAGGGGAGTGGAAGGCACAGCCAACTGGCTGGCTGCACGGGAAGGTGAGGCAAAAGACGGGCCCATCATGGGCACAGAGCTCCAGAAACTGGGAGTGGGAGCCGGACTAGTTTCATAGAGGCTAAAGGAGTTGAGAAAAGGGAGGAAAGAAGAGAAAAATCAAAGAAAAATTTGAGATAACTAACTAAACGAGAAAACATCAAGCTTTCAAGGATAGGGTCATTTTGGTTTAAGTATACAGATCTATCAGATAAACATCTAAATAATTGCAATCTTATTGCTCTACTGATCTAGAGACTAGATCACTTACAGGACAGTAAAGGCCCCGTTCAAAGAACGACGTAGTACACACAGCCAACTGGTTCTAAAATTTAATCTACCAATAGCTTAACCATAGAGAGCCAAAAAATAACAATCTGAAAAAGAGAGTTCCACTTTCAGTGACTAAAACCACTTCCCCAAATATGATACATGCCATACCCTCTATGGCACAGATCAACATTGTAAACAAATATTCCCTTCACCTGTGTACTTCATGACTCTTACTAGCCGTTAGCTGTGCAAAGAGAACCACACTGACCTAGACAAAGAGCTGGTGCCAAAGGAACCCACGTTGCAGAACATGGGGCTTGTTCCCGGATTGGAGCCAGTGTTTAGCAGGAGATTTCTGTCTGGCGACCGTGCTGCTGCAGCAATTGGCTGTGATGTAGCTGTCAGACTGGCAAATGGGTTTTCATCTCTAGTCTGAGTGGACATCATTAGCACTTCCATTAAAATCTGACCAATCAAGTCCTTAAAATCGGAGAACACTGTTGGAAAGAGAATAAAGAATAAAGAACAGGTTATACACAGTTCTTCATGTACACAGCCCTCAAATAAGCCAAACTGACCCCAAGTGGTTTGATGCAGTATCCTGGTTTGGATTCTGCAATGGAAAAAAGGACATTAGTGGAAAACCTGGTGCAACTTAAATAAAGCCTTGTGTTTAGTTAGTAATAATTTCTTAGTTTTGACAAATGTACCATGCTTATATAAGGTATTAACATCAGGGGAAACTGAAAAAAGTATACATAGGAACTCCTTGCATTCGCTGAAACTATTCCAAAATTAAAAGTTTATTAAGAAAAAAATATTGTGGTAGAGTCAATGAGAGAATGCTGATGTATATTAACTGTAAATGGAGCTAGGCCGGGCGTGGTGGCTCATGGCTGTAAACCCAGCACTTTGGGCTGGGCGGATCACAAGGTTAGGAGTTCAAGACCAGCCTGACCAACATGGTAAAACCCTGTCTCTACTAAAAATACAAAAGTTAGCCGGGCGTGGTGGCGAGTGCCTGTAATCCCTGCTACTTGGGAGGCTGAGGCAGGAAAATTGCTTGAACCTGGGAGGTGGAGGTTGCAGTGAGTTGAGATCATGCCACTGCACTCCAGCCTGGGCAACAGAGTAAGACCCTTTCTCAAAAAAAAAAAAAAAAAAAGAAGCTACTCCCAACCACAGAGGTTACTTTATTATACTACAATTACAACTGGGTTAATATTTCTTAGTCTAGACACATTTCATATACAGTAATAAAACTATTAAGTCCAAGGTTCAAAAGATTTTATAAAGGGTCCAATATCTAGTCACTACCTGGCTTTCAGGAGCAAATGCTAGTCTGGGGCCTCTTACAGTAGAACACCTTCTTATTCTTGGCAGCTTCCAGTTGATTTACTGTTGGTCTTTAGATACATTTTAAATATCACTAAAAGAAAATTTAACTCATGGAAATTTTATCTAATTTGGTTATTTAAAATTACCACTTACATGTGTAAGATAGATTTGGAATCTTAAGATTTCTAATAAGAATAAGAAGTAGCAGAATCTTAAGAGACATGGTCTGCTCCATGAGCAGAGTCAATAAGAAGATGCCAGTAAAATCAGAAAGTCTTATCCACCCTCCAGAAACACAAAGGACTTTGTTTCCCTCCCCAGAAGATGGGCATCATAGAAAAGGGAAAGGTAATCTTCCTGGTAGTCACTCAGCCATTTAAAATGTATCTACTGAGGGACTAATTCGTGCAATATATCCTTCCAGGAACTGGGGATATATCAATGAGTAAAACAGACAAAAATCCCTACCATGGCTCATGCCTGTAATCCCAGCACTTTGGGAGGCCAAGGCAGGTGGATCACAAGGTCAAGAGATCGAGACCATCCTGGTCAACATGGTGAAACCCTGTCTCTACTAAAAATACAAAAAATTAGCTGGGCATGGTGGCGTGTGCCTGTAATCCCAGCTACTCGGGAGGCTGAGGCAGGCGAATTGCCTGAACCCAGGAGGTGGACGTTTCGGTGAGCTGAGATCCCGCCATTGCACTCCAGCCTGGGTAACAAGAGCAAAACTCCGCCTCAAAAAAAAAAAAAAAAATCCCTACCATGAGGGAGGTTATATTCCAGTGAGGCAAAAAAACCACTCCAGCATACCTCCCATACCTCTGCTGCATTCCAAATGACTGCTGTAAAGAAAAATCATAATGCCCTATGATGCTGATATCTTGCTAAGAGTTTTATTATTTTGTTACAAGAGGGGCCTCTTACAGTAGAACACCGGAAACATAGCAAAATGTCATTATGTCCTATCTTGCTAAGCAATTTAACCAAATAGATCAATTCCACTGTAATGGCTTCATAGGCACTTAAAGCAGGTAGGGTCATACAGAAGAAATCTCTCAGGATCCCTGGAGACCACCCAGTGTAACTCTACTTCATAAGAGGAGGTAAGCCTGGGCTCGGTGGCTCAAGCCTGTAATTCCAGCACTTTGGGAGGCTGAGGCAGGTAGATCACGAGGTCAAGAGATCGAGACCATCCTGGCCAACATGGTGAAACCTCGTCTCTACTAAAAATACAAAAATTAGCTGGGTGTGGTGGCATGCACCTGTAGTCCCAGCTACTTGGGAGGGTGAGGCAGGAGAACTGCTGGAACACAGGAGGCAGAGGTTGCAGTGAGCCGAGATTGTGCCACTGCATTTCAGCTTGATGACAGAATAAGACTCTGTCTCACCAAAAAAAAAAAAAAAGGAGGTTATGCTCTAAGCACCTTCTTACAACAAAGGGAAAAATTCCAACCCTGAGAAAATGGAGACCATTAACTTATTTACATAGTTTTGTAGAAATCATAAAGTGAAAAGTAAGTTATCAATAAGATCAGTGGAAACGGAAGAAAGTGGCCACACAGCTGTGTCCTCATCAAGATGCTTCCCTGTCATCAAAAATATAACCCAAGAGCAAGATGGAGTGAATGTGGATAATGGGGGAGGACAAAGATCTCATGTCTAATTTTCTTGTTAAGTACTCTGCAGTAAGACTGCTGAGCTAGATTCCTACCTTCTTTTGGGTTCTGCTTAAACTGTGCAGAAAGAGAAGAAAGAAAGATGACATCTCTGTCCCGGTCCTTCCAAGAGACACGAAAGATCTTACAGACCAGCTGTAAGGCCTGCTCTTCAGATACTTCAGGGCCCGAGGAAGGCTCCTGGTGAAGAAGAAGACTTACAGGTTAATTTCAAATAAGAGGTATGAATTAGGTACTTCAACAGAAATACGTTATTCTGATTTCATTCATTATTAGTGATGGTATTTTTAAAATGCATGAAATATGTGGGATCATAATATAATCCCACTGATTAGGGGAAAAGTAGGCCTGTTACTATGACATCAAACTTATAACATCTAAGTCTCATGAGCTTACAGTACAATCTATGGGGAGCATAAAAGAGCGAAGATGGCCAGGTGCAGTGGCTCCCAAGTATAATCCCAGCACTTTGGGAGGCCGAGGCAGATGGATCATCTCAGGTCAGGAGTTCAAGCCCTGACCAACATAGTGAAACCTGGTCTCTACTAAAAATAAAAAAATTAGTCGGTCGTGGTGGCGGGTGCCTGTATTCCCAGCTACTCGGGAGGCTGAGGCAGGGGCATCACTTGAACCCAGGAGGTGGAGGTTGCAGTGAGCCAAGATCATGCCACTGCACTCTAGCCTGGGTGACAGAATGAGACCCTGTCTCAAAAAAAAAAAAAAAAAAAAAAAGAGCAAAGACATTACCAAAAGTCACCAAGAAAAAAAATGTGACAGAAGATGTACATATCCTATGTATTTACTTTTCTGAATTCCACAGGACCAGGTTAACATTCTAGGTGCATAATCAATTTTCCTCCAGAAATTTTTCAAAAATGGAACATTTCTCATTACATGCCATCACAGATAAAATGTCATATATAATTTTGTAAACATTAAAGAACTATACAAAAAAAAGCACTGCACCACTATGAGGCTACAGTGCTTTTTTTTTTCTTTTTTCTTTTTATTTTTGTTTATAATGCAACTTCTAATAATCATTAACATGTGTTGCTAAAGGATTCCTAATAATTTACTGAACAGAAAGTGACATAATTATCTATCTATATAAACACACACACACCCTAAATGCAGAGCACTAAGCTCAGGTGGTAATCAAACATAAAGGCTTCATGTTTTCAAAAACTTTCCACTTGCTACTAGATTTTACATATTCTTGCTTCATTCCCAGTCATTTCCCTCAGAATACTGCTAAAGATGTGATGACCTACTTGTTTAAAAGCAAAAGATCAACAGAGAGAACTCTAATTACCTCTAAATTAGTTCCTATTACAAACTAAATTTACTGACAAAACCATGGCCCTGAACCAGAAATAGATGGATTACATCAGATCACAGGAGTGAGTTACATTTCCATAATAAGGGTAATCTAGGTTATTCATTTTTCCTCAAAAGAATAAAAATAATCACCTGCCTAGGACTTCCTGATTTGGAGTGGCCCCATGCTAATAGATACAAGACATGAAATGGTTTTATTTATTTTACCTGTACCAAGGGCTTCATCGCTTACCAACCTTATCACTGAGGCTCCGTTTTTCTCTTCGATCATTTTCATCAACCTCCATGTTTTCAATTCCTGAATCCACATCTACCTGGGACATGCTTAAAGTACAAAAGACAAGCCTTTTACCTTTTATAAATCCGTGCAATGTCACTGTAGCTGCTGGTTGAGGAAAAGTTTTAAAATATCAATTAAATTAAAATATTGATTTAATTTATATATATATAAATTAAATCAATCAGGAAAGCAAAATGATGATGGTCCATCTTTTTTCTTATTAATTTTTAAGAGTTCTTCATAAATTAGGATCTAAACATTCTGTCTCTCATACATGTTGAAAATATTTTTCCTAAGTTGTCATTTTCTTGGGCTCACTTTTAAAAAGTGTATCATTAAAGTCGGTTCTTTATTATTTTTAAACGACATAAAATTAACCAGGCCAGGTACAGTGGCATGCGCCTATAGTCAAGCTACTTAAGGAGGCTGAAGCTGGAGGATCACTTTAGCCCAGAAGTTTGAGGCTGTCGGCACTATTACTGTGCCTATGAATAACCACAGTATTCCAGCCTAGGCAGCATAGCAAGACTCTGTCTCTAAAACAAAATTTAATAAAAATTTTTTAAAAATGTAAATAAGAAAATAAAAAACTCAACTGAAGGCTTATTACAAAAACTGGTTAAGTACATACTATTTCCCCCGATTAAACAATTGCTCTAGCACCATTTATTGGAAAGATCATGCTTTTTACATTAATGTGAAATTTATGTCACATGTCCAATTTTCATTAATGAGAAACGACTAATTTCTGTTCTGTTAGACAATGTGTCTGTTCCTGACCAATACCCTTCCGTCTGAATTACTAAAACTTCAAAGTCTTGATACCTGCTAAGTCAATGTTTCCACCTTATTCTTCTACTTTCAGGGGTGTTAGCCATCCTTTGCTCTTTCCTCTTCTATACATACTTAAGAATCAGCCTGAGAAATTCCTTTAAAACCCTCCAGGGATTCTGACCAGAATTTCTTTGACTCTTAGAGATCAAATTAGAGAGAAGTAATATAATTATGTCACTGAGGTTTTTATTACTCTCCAGCTATTAAGACCTTCTTTAAGGACTATCAGTAAACTTTAATACTTTTCTCCAAAAAATTCTACATTTCTTTTGCTAAATTTATTCCAAGGTACCATATGTTAATACTTTTTAATGAAATTGCAAATGGTACCTTTTTAAAAATTAAGTTTTCTAATTTTTTGTTGTTGGCAGATAGGAATGTAACTGATTTTAAATATACACTTCTTATAAGCAACTTGTTTATTTATACATAGAAAGTTTACCATGTAAATAATTTTTTTTTTTTGAGACAGAGTCTTGCTCTGTCACCCAGGCTGGAGTGCAGTGGTGTGATTGATCTCAGTTCATTGCAACCTCCATCTCCCACGTTGAAGCAATTCTCCTGCCTCAGCCTCCCGAGTAGCTGGGATTACAGCCATGTGCCACCATGCCCAGCTAATTTTTTTTATATTTTTAGTAGACACAGAATTTTACCATGTTGGCCAGGCTGGTCTCAAACTCCTGACCTTGTGATCCGCCCACCTCAGCCTCCCAAAGTGCTGGGATTACAGGCATGACCCATTGTACCCAGCCACCATGTAAATAATTTATCTGCAAATTATAACTGCTATTTCTTCCATTCCAATCCTTACTTGTTTTACTGTACTGCTGAATACAAGAAGAAATAGCAGTCATCCTTGTTCTTATTGCTGATTTTACAGAAAATGATGCTAACTTCTCACCACTGAATATGAGAGCTACTGTAGTTTTTTGGTAGATGCCCTTTATATTAGAGTAAGACAGTCTATACTGTCATAACACATACCCTCTGAAATCTTAGAGGCTTAACACTGTAAGGATTTAGTTCTTGCTTACACAAAGTCTGATGAGAGTGAAGCATCCTTACTCCATCTTTAATCTATGCCATCTGCAATACACAGCCTCCAAGGTCACTGGAGCAAGAGAAGAGAGGGATGGAGGAGGAAGATCGGCTCAACTGCCTTCATCTAAAAGTGACACGTCACTCTAGTTCATAGTCTACTGAACAGAACTAGTTGCTTGGCCCTAATCTAACTAACTGTAAAAGAGAATGGGAAACACTGGGGAGCATGTGGACTATTTGGTGAACTTTGTCTGTGCCACACTGTGAGTTTAAGGATATTCCTTTCTGTTCGTTTGCTTACTTATCATGAATTAATGTGGAATTTTAGCAAACTCATGCAACTACCAACATTATAAGGATTTTCTTTTTAACATACACTACGGTAAATATATTTATAGATTTTCTAATGTCAGTACATCCTTGCATTCCTAAAATCAATTTATCATATTATATTGTATTATTTTAAAGCAAACTTATTTTTTTGAGACGGAGTTTCGCTCTTGTTACCCAGGCTGGAGTGCAATGGCGCGATCTCGGCTCACCGCAACCTCCGCCTCCTGGGTTCAGGCAATTCTCCTGCCTCAGCCTCCTGAGTAACTGGGATTACAGGCACACACCACCATGCCCAGCTAATGTTTTGTATTTTTTTTCGTAGAGATGGGGTTTCACCATGTTAACCAGGATGGTCTCGATCTCTTGACCTCGTGATCCGCCCTCTTCGGCCTCCCAAAGTGCTGGGATTACAGGTTTGAGCCACCGCGCCCGGCCTAAAGCAAACTTTTAATTGAAATATAAGACACCTGTAATCCAGTACTTTGGGAGGCCGAGGCAGTAGATCATATGAGGCAAGGAGTTCGAAATCAGCCTGGCCAATAAGGTGAAACTCCATCTCTACTAAAAATACAAAAATGCACTGCATGCTAGCCTGGGTGATAGAGCAAGACTCTGTCTCAAAAAAAAAAAAAAAAAAAAAAAAAAATTATGTGTACAGAAATGTGCACAGATATGTTTGACCAAATATACTTCCACAAAGTAAACATACCAATGTAATCAGCACCCAGATCAGGAAACAGAATATTACCAGTACTCCAAAAGCCCTGTTGTGATTCTCTCAATCCCTGCTGTTCTAGCTCACAGTAATTATTGCCCTGGCATCTAACCCCATAGAATAGTTTTGTCTGTTTTTTTTTGTTGTTGTTGTTATATATTGTAGTATTTAATTTGTCCGCATTTTAAGATTTTTGCAAATATATTCATGAGTATGAATATCATATAGTTACTTTTCTCCTTTTACATTATTCTTGTATGGTTTTAATATTAGTGTCACATTAGCCTCATAAATTGAGTTGAAGTGTACATTTTTTTTTTTAAATTCTTGGAAAAAATGTATAAAATTGATCATTGGAATTAGGGCAAAATCATGAAAGAACTCATGTAGAAAGAGAATAGAAGGCTGGTTACCAGAAGATGAAAAAGGCAGTGAGAAGTAGGGATGGTTAATGGGCATCAAAAATAAAAGTCAGAAGGAATGAATAAGATCTAGTATTTGATAGTACAACAGAGGTACTATAGTCAAGAATAATTTAATTGTACATTTAAAAATGACTAAAAGAGGCTGGGGGTGGTGGATCACTTGAGGTCAGGAGTTCAAGACCAGCCTGGCCAACATGGTGAAACCGTATCTGTACTAAAAATACAAAAATTAGCTAGGTGTGGTGGCCTGTGCCTGTAGTCCCAGCTACTCTGGAGGCTGAGGTATAAGAAATGGTTAAACGTGGGAGGGGGAAGATGCAGTGAGCCAAGACTGCACCATGACACTCCAGTCTGGGTGACAGAGTGAGACTCCGTCTCCAAAAAATAAATAAATAAATAAATAAAAGACACAATTTGATTGTTTGTAACAAAAAGGATAAATGCTTAAGGGGATGGACACCCAATTTTCCCTGATGTAATTATTATACGTCAGGGAAATTGATTGCATGCCTGTACCAAAATATCTCAGATATCCCTTAAATATATACACCTACTATGTAACCCACTAAAATTAAAAGTTTTTTTAAAACACCCAAAATTCAAAAAACAGGCCCAGCTTGTTTTTTGTCTAAATCTGTAAATGTCTTCATTTCCCTTTGCTTTAAGCAGTTCCAAACCAGGTGTGGTAGCTCATGCCTGCAGTCCTAGCACTTTGGAAGGGCAGGAAGATCACTTGAGGCCAGGAGTTTGAGAACAGCCTGGGCAACATAAGGAGACCCTGTCTCTATCAAAAATTTAAAAATTAACCAGGTATGGTGGCACAGGCCCATAATCCAAGCTACTCTGGATGTTGAGCTGGGAGGACTGCATGAGCCTGGGAGTTCACAAGGCTGCAGTGAGCCGTGACTGTAGCAGGGTACTCCTGCCTAAGCAAAAGAGTGGCAACCTGTCTCAAAAAAATAGTCAGGAGTTCAAGACCAGCCTGGCCAATATGGTGAAACCTTGTCTCTACCAAAAAAATAAAAAAATTAGCCAGGCGTGGTAGCATGCACCTGAAGTCCCAGCTACTAGGGAAGCTGAGGCATGAGAATGTTCAAATCCTGGAAGCAGAGGCTGCAGTCAGCCGAGATTCTGCACCACTGCGCTTCAGCCTGGGTGACAGAGTGAGACCCTGTCTCAAAATAAATAAAATAGAATAGAAAACAGAAAAAAGAAAGAAAAGGGGCAGTTCCACAGGAGTACACATTTCCCAGTTGACAGTTACTTTCTTTCAACTGTTATTCTGCCATCCTCTGGCCTCCATCATTGAGATATTTGACTGTGATTTCTTTTACAGATAATCTCTCTTTTCTCTCTGGCTGCTTTAATGGTCTTGTTCTCTGCAAGGAGTGGGGATATTTATTAAATAAATAAATAAAAAGGTTTTTGTCACTGGTATTCTATAATTTCACTATAAAATGTGTAGATACGACTTTCTCTGTTTATTCTGCTTGGGATTCATTAGGCTTCCTAAATCTGAAGATTCTTATCATTTACCAACTATCAAGAAAAATTCGGTCATTAATTTTTTTTTTTTTTTTTTTTAAACAGAGTCTCACTCTGTTGCTCAGGCTGAAGGACAGTGGTATGATCTTGGCTCACTGCAACCTCCACTTCCTGGGTTCAAGCGATTCTCCTGCCTCAGCCTCCTGAGTAGCTGGGATTACAGGTGTGTGTCCCATGTCCCGATAATTTTTGTACTTTTAGTAGATACGAGATTTCAACATGTTAGCCAGGCTGGTGTCTGACTCTTGACCTCAAGTGAATGGCTGTCTTGGCCTCTCAAAGTGCTGGGATTAGAGGCGTGAGCCACTGCACCCAGACTCGATTCCCCTTTTCATCTGTTTAGCCCACTGACACAAACCGAGGGGACTGCTTGAGGGCAGAGAAGCCAGATCTAAGGAGTCTGACTTGCTCAATCATTAAAGTAATCAATACCTCAGCCATTCTATCACCCACTTTTGGTACATATGCAACACAGGAGGGCTGTTTCAAGACACCCTAATTCTTATGAAGAAAATAGGGTATTTGGCTTACCTATCTGAAATATTCCAAACTTTGAAATTTCATTCATCAGTAAAAGTTTTAGGGAAAGGCGTATGCTTTCCAACTTTATATTTACAAAATGAGAACAATCATTTTTTATTTTTACTGACTACACCATTATTTCATAAAAGACATTTAACACACAAGTATAGTGGGCCAGGTATAGTGGCTCATGCCTGTAATCCCAGGCCTTTGGGAGGCTGAGGCAGGCAGATCTCTTGAGGCCAGGAGTTTGAGACAAGCCTGGCCAACACGGTGAAACCCTGTCTCTATTAAAAATACAAAAATCAGCCAGCCATGGTGGCACATGCCTATATCCCAGCTACTCAGGTGGCTGAGGCAGGTGGTTGAGGTAGAGCCAAGATTGCACCACCACGCTCCAGCCTGGGCAACAGAGCAAGACTCAACAACAACAACAACAACAACAACAACAACAACAGCAACAACAGTATGAAGAACATTCTGAATAATACACAACCTTTAAATTTAATAAATTTGATACTAATTTGCTAAGGAATGGCATGGTCTCTAGCTGGCAATTTATGACTACTGGACTAGAGACTAAAGTTAATGGATCTTTCTCTTTCCCTAAATAAAACAGCATATAAGAAAACTGGCTTCACTTTACCTTTTCTCGCATGAGACTCCATCGATATCCATGCTCTGGGAACGTGAGAGAGACTGAGATTGTGTTTCAAGGCTATTAGAGGGCGAGCTGCTGAGAGAACTGACTCCTTCACTGCTCTGGCTTCGATGGGCTACTCCTAGACGGAAAACATAGTAAGAATGAAGCCCCATGTGAAATAACGTTAAAGCTATTTGTAATAGCGACAGTAAACACGCACAATCTGCAGTCACACCATCATGATATTGCAGCAATCTAGGAATTTCTATCAGGTTATATAAAAGCTGGAGACAATATTAAAATCATAGGAACATTACTAAGAAATCGTAACTTATCAATATACTTCATATGAGGTCAGTAACAGCTACACCTAATGCCTAAAACTCACTCCTTATCACCTCTCTTGCACCAATTCAAACTATGGTCCACAAATACAAATTAGAAATACAAATTAACTTCCATGATAGTCCAGAAAAATCCTTGCAGTGTAAATAAAATATATTAATATACCAGGCCAGTGCAGTGGCTCACACTTGTAATACCAACACTTTGGGAGGCCAAGGAAGGTGGACCACCTGAGGTTGGAAGTTCAAGACCAGCCTGGCAAACATGATGAAACCTCGTCTCTACTAAAAATACAAAAATTAGCCGGGTCCCTGTAATCACAGCTATTCAGGAGACTGAGGCAGGAGAATCACTTGAATACGGGAGGCAGAGGTTGCAGTGAGCCAAGATTGCACCAGTGTACTCCAGCCTGGGCAACAGAGCGAGAGGATATATTAATTAACTTACAGAAAAACATGATGAAGCGAGTATAATAAAATGTTAATGATAGAATCTGGATGGTGAGTATATGGGTCTTCCTTGCAAAATTCTCTCAACTTTACTGTATGTTTAAAATTGTGGCAATAAAATGTAAAAAAAAATACAAGTGGACTATTCAACAATGTCCTTTGATACAGATTGATCCATTTACTGATTGAACACCTTAGTGGAGATTAAAAACCTGACACTTGTTGCCCTCACAGAGCTTACAGTACAGTGAAACTACAGTCATTAGTATAGGGACAGACGATTTCTCACAGCAATTTCCTCATCAATGTCTTTAAAATCATGTTTAACATTGAAGTTTTAAAACTTACTTTAACTCAATGAATATCTTCCTATGAAAACAGAAGAATGTTTACCCAAGCATTTTCAAATACTTTAAAATATATATACCTATGGAGCTGAAAGAAAAATGACACGTTTAAAAAAAAAGCATTGGCTGGGCATGATGGCTCACGCCTGTAATCCTAGCACTTTGGGAGGATGAGGAAGGCAGATCACTTGAGGTCAGGAGTTTGAGACCAGCATGGCCAATATGGTGAAAATACAAATATTAGCCAGGCGTGATGGCACACACCTGTAATCCCAGCTACATGGGTAGGCTCGGGCAGGAGAATTGCATTAACTTGGGAGGCAGAGGTTGCAATGAGCCAAGATGGCGCCACTGCACTGCAGCCTGGGTGACAGAGCAGGACTCCATCTCAAAAAAAAAAAAAAAAAAAAAAAAAAAAATCAAAAAAAAAACAGAGAAACTTGAGAGTTACCAGTTGCAGCGAAAACAATTACTGAATAAATACAATTTTAACACTTCCAGCATTCTATGAAAGTAAATTTGCCACCTTTTAATGTTTCTCTTTGTTGAAGAATACTACAAAATATTTATCCATTCTTGAAAGCAGTTCTTTGCATGTACTAATTTATTAAAACTTCCGCAGGACTTATGAAGAAAATAAAAAGCTAAATTTTCTGGGCAGGGTACGGTGGCTCACGCCTGTAATCCCAGCACTTTGGGAGGCTGAGGCGGGTGGATCACAAGGTCAAGAGATTGAGACCATCCTGGTCAACGTGGTGAAACCCTGTGTCTACTAAAAATACAAAAAATTAGCTGGGCACAGTGGCGCGTGCCTGTAATCCCAGCTACTCGGGAGGCTGAGGCAGGAGAATTGCTTGAACCCAGGAGGCGGAGGTTGCTGTGAGCCAAGATCGCAACCTTGCACTCCAGCCTGGGTAACAAGAGCGAAACTTTGTCTAAAAAAAAAAAAACAAACAAACAACTTTTAATTCATTAGTTTCAAAAAATATAACCCAAAGTAAGTTCTGAAAAAAATATTTATTAAAGGAATAAATAACAGCATCAACAAAGTTCTTAGAAGAATATTATTTTACCTATCACAAGTAAGTCAAGCAACTTTTAAGTTAAAATTAATCAATAAAGTTCAATGATCATTATGGTAGCAAATAATCAGGTTTTAAAATTTCTACCTATAAAACCAGTGCTAAAATTAAACTCATAATTATAAATTGTTTTAAAAACTATATCTGTAACACAGTACAGTATGTGTACAATAATACTGTAGTAATAGAGCACCAGTGTGTATCACACAGTGTAATCTACTGCATTTGTAATATTTTTATAAGTCATCAAAGAGATCATGTGAATTCATTTTTTCCTGGATCTTCCACATGATCTTCACATTTCGGGTCAAGTGGTGCAATTCTGCAGCAATTGCAAAAATTTATTATGTATACAAGTATTCCTCAATCTCTGAACATCATGGGATTCCACTCATTCTGTCTATCTATCTATCTATCTATTTATTTACTTATTTGAGACAGAGTTTCACCCTTGTTGCCCAGGTTGAGGTGCAATGGCATGATCTCGGCTCACCACAACCTCCACCTCCCGGGTTCAAGCAATTCTCATGCCTCGGCCTCCTGGGGAGCTGGGGTTACAGGCATGCACTACTACGCCTCACTGATTTTTGTACTTTTAGTAGAGAAAGAGTTTAACCATGTTGGCCAGGCTGATCTTGAACACCTGAGCTCAGGTGATCCACCTGCCTCAGGTTCTCAAAGTGCTAAGATTACAGGTGACACAGTGCCCAGCCTCCTTATTTTCTTTTAAGAGATGGGTCTCGCAGCTGGGCACAATGGCTCACGCCTGTAATCCTAACACTTTGGGAGGCCGAAGCGGGCAGATACCTGAGGTCAGAATTTGAAGACCAGTATGGCCAACAGCATGGTGAAACCCCATCTCTACAAAAATACAAAAATCACCTGAGCATAGTGGCTGGCACCTGTAATCCCAGCTACTCTGGAGACTGAGGCAGGAGAAATGCTTGAACCCAGTAGGCAGAAGTTACAGTGAGCCAAGATAGTGCCATTGCACTCCAGCCTCGGTGACATGCAGTGAGCCATGATTGCATTACTGCCCTCCATCCAGGGTGACAGAGGGTGACTCTGTTCCAAAATTAAAATAATAAAATTCGGCCAGGCGGAGTGGCTTACACCTGTAATCCTAACATTTTGGGAAGCCAAGGCAGGTGGATCACCTGAGTTCAAGACCAACCTGGCCAACATGGTGAAACCCCATCTCTAACTAAAAATATAAAAATTAGCCAGGCATGGTGGTAGGCGTCTGTAATCCCAGCTACTTGGGAGGCTGAGGCAGGAGAACTGCTTGAACCCAGAAGGCAGAGGTTGCAGTGAGCCGAGATCACGTCCCTGCACGCCAGCCTGGGCAACAGAGTGAGACTCCATCTAAAAAAATATATAAACAAAAATAAAATAATAAATAAAATAAAATGACATTTCAAGTCTGTGAAGAACAATAATGGTATCTTAAATACTGGGATAAGAAAACCAACAGCAAGAATTAGAAAATGACTTTGATCTTCCTATTCATAAGACAGAATATCCTTTCCTTAGTCAGTAGACCAGGACTGCTCCTTGGAGAACTGGCTGATTTCTAGAGCTGGGGCAGGAAAAATCCAAGGTTAAGTCTAGAGCATCTTACAGTGCCAGCAAGACAGTGTTCAAAATAAAATAAAATAAAATAAAAGGCACATCAAATGGACCAAGGATCCAACTTGAAAGAACTCCCATGGTCAAAGCTGGAATAATTCCTGAAAAATAAGTAATGCTGCTATTGAAATCATAACCAAAGTATAAAATAAATGTGTATGAGTTCATACTGATCTAAGAGATTAAATACCTAACGGGAGAAGGGACAAGTTTTCCTTATAGAATTCCAGATTATATATATGTACTTACTCCTTCCAGGAGGTAAAGTTTAATTCCCACCCCTTAAAAAAAAGGTACTCGATACCAAAGAACTGAGTTATGGTAAGGGAAAAATAGTAACTTTCCGTGAAGAAACCTGGCCAGCACTAACTCAGGCACGTGGTGATGGTTATCAGCACGAGGGACAGCATGTGGATACTAAACATCCCTGATAGGATGTGACGGGAATGGCACTTCACCTGTGTGACATTCTTCCCCGAAACCCATAACCCCAGTCTAATAGTGAGGAAAACACCAGAAAAAGCCAAATTAAGGGACATTCTACAAAGTACTGACTAGTATTCTTCAAAACTGTCAAGATCATGAAAACAAGACTGAAATGCTGCCATAGACCGATGGAGACTGAGGAGACTCATGTTTAGTTAAAATCATATCCAGGCCAATTCCTTCGTTTTCACAAATGAACCAGATATTAACATTAGGGGAAATGGATGAAGGGTACACAGCAATCCTGTATACTATCTTCAAAACCTTTCTATACATCAAAAATTATTCTAAAATAAATGTTTATTTTACCAAAAAACTAGGACTGGACCCCGGTTCCATCATTTCTAGTTTTGTAATCTTAAGCAAGTCTTCTTACTTAATATTTTTACCTATGCTCTTGTAATACTGGCATCTGTGCAGCCTACTTCATAGTTCTACTTTGAGGAGCCAATGGAAAAAAAACCAATGTAAGCATGTTAACAAGTTCTATAGATACACCTGTATGAATCAGACAAGAACAGAATGAGAAATCAGGGCAACCCGAGCGTAAAGAACAGATTCACCTAGTACCCACAATACCTGCTCTGGTGTTGTCCACTTTTAGCGTACTTAAGTACTAAAAAGAGATGGGGAGGCCAGGCCCAGTGGCTCATGCCTGTAATCCCAGCACTTTTGGAGGCCGAGGTGGGCGGATCACTTGAGGTCAGGAGTTTCACAACAGCCTGGCCAACATGATGAAAATTCCATGTCTACTAAAAATATAAAAATTAGCTGGGTGTGGCAGCATGTGCCTGCATCCCA